AAAAAAAAAAAAAAAAAAACAACAACCAACAAAATAATAATAATAATAATAATAATAATAATAATAATAATAATAATAAATGATCGTAATTGAATTTAATTTATTGATTCAAATCAGATAGAGTGAGATAGAAAGAGAGAGAGAGAGAGAAAGATAGAAAAAGAGAGAAAGAGAGAGAGATAGAAAGAGAGAGAGAGAGAGAGAGAGAGTAAGAGGGAGATTTAAAAGGAAATTTTTTCTTATTTAAACGATGATTGAAAAATAATTAATTTTGTCTGTCAATATTGAAATTTGTATATTGCATTACTCATTCAATGTTTCTATATTACGCATCGTGTTAATTATTATCAATCGATCCACGTGTGTGGAATTTCAATTAACCCTCTGACATATCAGAAGAAAATAAAAGGAAGAAGAAGAAGAACAAGAAGAGAAAGAGGATATAAAAAAGGATTATCCTTGAGATATTTTCATCAAGTTTTACCCCCTTCTGTTTTATTTTTCTTTCTTTCAAAGATTCATTAATTATATAATACATACATATCGTTTACGTAAATACAATAAGTTTTTGTTTTTTTTTTAATGTTTTTATACAAAATCTCACTGAAGACGTTTAAAACGATTAATTAAATATACATTCGAAATATCGTAATTGAAATGATTGAGTGAGAGAGAGAGGGGTTAAAATGAACAAAGAAGATATAAATTTATTTAATTTTTTCCAATCCAATGAATTCACGATACCTTTCTATCTATATATATATATTTTATATTTATATATTATTTATTTATATTATTTACTATATTATTTATAATTATATTTATATTATATTAAATTTATATTATTTTATTATATTATATTATATTATTATTATATTTTATTATATATATATATATTATATTATTTATATTATATTTATTATTATTTATAATTATATAGTAAATAATGTAAATAAATAATATATAAATAAAATAATAAATATTTATATATTATTATAAATTAATAAATAAAAATAAATANTAATAATAATTAAATATAATTTAATTTTATTTAATTATATATATATATATATATATATATATATATATATATATATCTGCTTTAATTATTTATCTATATATATAATATACTCTAGATTATATAAAAATATGATATATTAGATAATATATTACATTATTTGTATGATGATTTATATTCGAAGTAATAATTATTGATAAAAAAAAAAATGAGAACAAAAGTATTAACAAAAGATACGCGTGAAAAAAATACGACATCATTTTTAAAAACTTAGTATAGTTAGTTTTTTTTATCAAGAAAGAAAAGGATTAAAATGGGTCAAGCGTGTATCGATTGGATACAAGTAAGTACTTACCTATTTGTTCAGTATTACTTGATAGAAAAAATGAAAAAAGAAACAAAAAACCCTACGTGAAGGTTCTAACATCAGATTTTGATTCTTAAACGATTACATTTTTTTGCACAATATTTTATTTTGAAATCTGAAGAAATTCTAATTTCAAATACACAATCAATTGAATTTATCTGTAATTGCAATCAGTATAATATTTAATAAATAATATTAATTTAATATTTATCTACATATAAAACTGTTTTTAATAATATATTCATATAATATATTGGTGATAAAATTCTATTAATAATTTTAATTAAATTAATATCTAAATTATAATAATCTAAAAAAGAAACAAAACAAAACAGAAATATAAAATACCATATTTAAGGTTCTAAAAGCAAATTATTCTTAATTAATGAATTAATTAATATAATTACTATTATTATTAAATTACATTAATTCAATAAATCAAACAAATCTTCTTCTTCTTCAATATTTTATTTCTAAATCTGAATTCTTTCTAATTTCAAACCCACAATCAATTGAATTTATCTAAATATTAAACTGTTTTTAATAATATATTCATATAATATATTGAGTGGTAAA